TGCATTCATGTTAGAAATTAAAAACTTTGTATTTGATTTTTAAACTTTTGCTGCAATCATGCTTTGAAGTTCCCCATAGCTTTATTAAGATACTGGCACAGTTTAAAATGTACTGTAAAATTTTCTCTAATAGATCTCTGTTGCCCTGGCCTTCATTGGAATTGTTTTAGAGCAGTTAATGAAGTTGAAACTATCAACACATGTATTTAAAGGATTTTATTTGTTCTGCTGTATTTATGCTACATGCATGATAAACAAGGCTTTTTAGTATTATTTCCTGGAAACATAACTTTGAACACTGTATGCAACATTTCAAATATAGTAACATTTATACTAGGAGTTATTTCCCCAGAAACCAAGTCCACAATACATACTTAAGCGTTAACTATTTTGGAACTCTTTAAAAAGATCCACTATCTAAAAGCAATAGCATCTAATTCCTACAAACAGTGTAAATAAGTTCTGTACATATTCATATGTCCAGAACAAATAATTATGGAAACAGTGCAATATAGGGACAAAGACAATGTCCACTACAACATCAGCTAAGAAACTGAACATGCCCTTACGTATTGCTTCTAAATATACAGAGGATTTATAAATTTAGCTGAATGCTTGAACTAAATTCAGCTTTTGAAATGCAAAGTTCATTCTCCATATGGTGGATACCAGCACTTACTGGTATCATGACAGCATTACCTACAAGAATAATGATTCCAAGACATTACTTTACAGATCAATAGAACCTCTGGTGAATGCATCGATCTTTTTAAACAAACTTACATTTAACTTGTCAATGATTCCTGCAGGCCTAACTCTCCGGGCTAGAAACATGAAGATAACTTTAATATATAAGCATGTGCCAACAGGAAAACACTATCTCCTGCCTAGCACTTAAAAAGCCCCTAGTACTTCCAACTGTAAAAATTTGCTACACAGCTGCAAGCCAACCAGCACATACTTTACTGACAGCAAAGGATTATATTTCTTAGTTTCCTATGTTACAAGATTGTTGGAAGGCCCACAGAGGCATAATGCTGAATACTTTTATCTAAACCAAATAACAGTAGATGTGAATTCTGGAAATTGTGAATGAATGTTATACTGTACTATTCTATTCGGCACATAGTACACAGTGGAACCTTTTAACGTTTTTCCAACCCTTTTTTGAGTCTCTAACTTGGATACCTCCGGAACTTTTGGCCAAGACCTAAAGAACCTTCCGTGTTCAGTAGTACCATATATAGAAAGCATCTATTCCTCACCAAGAGAAACAACTGCAGCGTTCCTGCGAAAGGCCTGCAATGATCACTAAATGGCAAAGGAACAACTGCTACCCTCGGCTGTAAGGACAGACCGCTCAATTTCCTAGCCTAGTTAACGTTAAATTCTTATTTTCCACCGTTTCCCCGCCAATGACAACCAAGACTCACCAACCTGCTCCGAGGCACCTCAGCGCGCACACCCCAATGCCCAAAAGCCACCTGCACCTGCTGAGCTTGTCTCGGTTGCATTCAAGGATCCCCACTCACGGGGCTACCTCACCGCCACACGCCCCTTCGGCAGGGAGGCAGCGGCCCAGGCCCAAGGTGATAGACCCACGGCGAAGATCACCAGAGGAAGCCTCTCCAGGACGCGTCTGGGAGAGAAAGGAGGCGCCAGAGCCAGGGGGAGGGAGAACGCCCAAAGCGCCAACCGCTGCAACTTAATCCGGGGCGCCGGGAGGCCTCAGGACTTCCCGGAGTCCCGCGCCCCCGGCGTCCACCGGTGCCGTCGTCCCCCTTACGGAGCTTCTCCGGCGCCTGGGCTCACTTACCATGGGGCTCGCGCGCTCCTTCCCCCGCCAGCCCTTCCGAAGTACGGCCCGCGAGGAGGCCGCTCCCTCCCGGGACCCGCCACCGGCACAGTGACCGAGAGACCAGGCGACAGAGCAAGCGCGACGGCGCGCGACACGTACCTGGGGGAGGGGCGGCGCAGAGGAGCCTAGCAACCGCCGGCACGAGCCCGCCACAACCAATCACGAAGCCTGCCCTAGCTCGATCTGCAACACACACATCGCCGTTCGGCAGCGTCTGCTTGTTTGGCCAGCAGCAGCCCAGCCCAACCTAACCCAACTCGTCGGACTCCGCCTCACGCGCAAGAACTCCCCCTACCCGACCGCAGGACACGCCTCCTCTCCAAGACAAGCCACGCCTCTTCTTTTCGTGTGTGTTCTTCGGGCTACACCTTCTGGGATCTGCTTATTGTGCCGCCCCCTCCCCCCAGGATCGAAATCACGCCCCTCCTTTTATTTCTTATTGGGCAAAAGGAGCAGGACTTGTGGGGAGTCCTAACATTCTTGCGGGAGGTGAAAGAAATCCGGTACTTGCATCGTCCCACCTGAGAAGCCCAGGCGGGCTTCTTTCTTCCCAGGGTCAAAGCCCAGGAGGGGGATGGAAGTGTTTCCCTGCGGCCCAGGCTCATAGGCTGCATTATAGAAGCGAGGCCAAGGCTGAAATCTTTTCGGAAACCCTAAATATCCTTGTTTTGTAGGCAACTGGTGCGGCTACTAAGAGAGGAAGATATTCTATATCTCCACGGAAAAACTGCAAGGCGCAATGAAACGGCTATAGAGAAGGAAGGGGGTCAATAAATGCTACACATTATTATTTCCAGAAAATATTAAATTCCACGAAGATCGTTTAGGATCCTCAACTTAATTTAGCTCGACCGTTTGAGTGCACGTGTTGGATTAGAGTGTAGTTTGTGGCTGGAATTTTGGAGCTTGGCCCAGCCTATTGGAGAGCGCCAAGTTGGTGAGCCTGTGGAGCGCAACCATTCTGAAATCTCGGTGAAAAAGAGCAAGAACACAGTTCAGTTTGATTCCTTCAGTAATCCAGAGTGAAGTGTTCTAATAGATCAGCAGGTTATGCAGCTGAATCTCTCTTAATACACATGTCCTGCAGATTGCTATACCGTAGCTGAGGAACTGCTCCTGCTTTTGTGTTGGGACTAAGGTAGGTTTTTCTGGATTGCAGCTATCATACTGAATCAGATCCAGAAGAGCAGAGACAGATGTCAAAACACTGGCATTAATTGCTTATAGTGACACATTTCTTATATGACAGGCCTGTACATTTTGCAACAGCTGAACCTTCCCAACAATGTTCATATGCCGTTCCATATGGAGCTATCATATTAGTCTTGCTTTAAATCTGGCCAATTTTGTCTATCGATTGGTTTACAATCTTAGCAACAGGGATGAGACGGGATTGTTTATGTAAGGAAGAGATGCCTTTAATATTTCTGTGTTCACTTCCTAAAAGGAAAATAAATTTGGAGTAGAATACATCATCTGGTGTGTTCATTCTACTGGGGACAGGAACCACACTAACTATTTACAAGTGTTACGACCTTAAGCAAAAAGCAGTTGACACAATCATATTTGGGACATTTTTAAATCCCAAATGTCTTACAGGCATTGCACAACGTGTCTTTCCTCGTGTACAAATGTGGCTGATTATTTACAGAGCATTATGTCTCTGGGCAACATAATGCCAGTTCGAGATGGATTTGTGGACCTTATTACTAAATAAATATAATGATTTTTTAAGAGGATACAGATGGATAGAAATGAAATGTGGCCATAATTCTTTTAGATTCTGCAATGCAATGTCATAAATACATTATCCTGCAATAATCAAGTAACATACAAAATACACAATATGATCTAGGAAGATGCTATTAATATAGAATCTGAGAATCACTTTAGAATCATTTTAGATGAAGAGCTTTGTAACATACCATACAAATTTACCTGGGAAAGAGCACTGTTCAATTTAGTGGCATTTATTTTCAAAGAATCTGGAGGTGTCTGGAGGCTGGGAGGATCTGAAGAATATCGGGTTTCAGCTGAACGTTGACTAAGTGGCTCTGGGTTTTGGATCCTGCCAGTTCCGGGATTATGGCATCTTTGCTTCTGGATGGGTTGTACAGTCCCAGAGAGACCCAGTGCGCAGCCCGGGGCTTCTCCTGGACTCATGGCTCCTAGTCAAAGAATTGTGGCTAACTGGGCTTTTTCACAGCTTCATTTTGTGCACCAGTTGTGCCTGTTCCTGGACCAGGCGGTTCTGCTCACAAACACTCATGACAGTCACCACCTAATTGGACTACTGTAATGCGCTGTGTATGGGGCTGCCCTTGAAGACTATCTGGTAGCTTCAGCTGGTGCAAAACACAGTGGCACAAGCAGTTATGTCTACTTCCAAAACAGCTCATGTTACATCTCTGCTCTGTGAGCTGCTTTGGTTGCCAGTCTGTTTGCAGGTCCACTTCAAGGTGTTGGTTTTGACCTTCAAAACACTTTGTGGCATGGAGCTGGGTTATTTGTGAGATCACCTCTTCTGGATTACATCTGCCCATCTCATCAGATCCAGCAAGAGAGACATCCCATCTGTCAATGACTATCCTTGATGAGCAGTGGTGCTTGCTTTTGGAACATTGTTCCCCCTCCTGCCCCAAAGTGAGGCCATCTCCATCCCTGCTTACTTGATGGAAGTTCTTCAAGACCTGGCTAGGTCATCTGGCCTGGAAATCTCAGGGGACCAGTGAAATATTGAGGTGGCTGTCTTGGTGATCTGATATCTTGTGTATTATCCTTTTTTAACTTCTTAATTTGATTGCTTTTGACATTTTTATTTTTATAGTTTTTGCTGTATGCCACCCAGGATCATATGGGCAAATATAAATTCAATAGATAAAATCAGTCAACCAATCAATAGGCTAGGACACAGATGCAAAACTTCTTTTACATGATATTCTATTTTCTACATTCTGCTTGTAATTATAAGGTGGAGACTTCTTGGCTGCAGGATGTTTTCTGCCATGTGTCCCTACTCAGGTAACCTTGAGGACACAGATAAACCTCCAAATGGCCTCAACAACTCTCTAAATAAAGAATGCAAATGACCAGCTGTTTGCAAGGAATATAAATCCTTCAATTCCCCACCATCCAGTCAGAGCTGAAGAAGCTTCTTGGATGGAAGCAAAATGTCTTCAAAGAAAAACAAGAAAGTCCAGTTGCCTCCTGAAAAAGCATCTTTGAAACAACCATGAGCTGGATGACTGAGAATCTCCATAGACATGAATGTACAAGTGTACATGAAGGTGATGCACAGTATTTGTGTATGTACTCTTTTTTTTACATCAGAATTCCAAAAATACAAACTTATTCATTGATCAGTGAGCTTTATGTAAGCTGTTAAGTTATAAATATTGCTAAACTTTGGAAAGATGAAAAAAGCTTTCTAGTTCATAATAATCATTCTTCTGTTTCCTAAAATTGTGATAATGTTTTGTTTACTACGAAGTCTCTAATAACTGGTTGATTGTAGCATGTTAATGAATAAAAGAATTGTCTCTTAAAAGTAAGTTTTAAATTCCTTTGCCCAGGTGTTTCACCTCTTTAGAATTAGAGTTGTATTCATAGGAATACAACAGAACAGGATCATCATTTTTTTGCTTAAGAACATTCGTTTGCTGGAAAACTGCCCAGCGCTTTACATATAAAGGGAAAGGCTAACAAAAGGTAAAGTACAGAACTCTCAAAGAGATAATTTGGTGCATTGAAAGTCTGGAATTTTAGCTATTTCTAAAGGTATAAAAAAGTATGTAGGAATATTTGTGGAAATACTCATAAAATCCTCGATATCCAAGCAGGGGAAGGTAGATAGGAGGAATTATAAGTGTCCCTACTGATGGTGAAGGAACCCTTTCAGAAACCTAAAAAACATTAAGTTCTATAGGCATTTGTACAACTGTTCCACGATTTTCTACCTAAATAGATCATTCCCAGTAAAAATAAAAAGACAAATCAGATATTTAAAAAATAAACAATTGATAGCTATAAAATAATATGATTTGTATACCTTGTGAAATTATCAATAAACTGACACACTGCACATTAAAGCTCCATCTTCCAACTCTCCTTAGACTCCAGATCACATCATGACTGATCATTTGTCATGTTGCCTGGAGCTGATAAGAAATGGGCTCCCAAGTTTCTTATTCATGCACAGCGCTACCAACTCCAGGCTGCAATCCTGATGTTATTAGGTGTCAATAAATAGATGCAGAAAACGATTCAATATTTCTTTGATGCCATCTAATGATCATCCATGTTTCTATAGTTCTGATCTGGCAGTCCTACCCTTCAGTGACCAGTATTATAGTGAAAGAGATTCATGCGCTAACCCATTAGTTCTGACAATGAGTGATACCCATTCTTAAATCAAGGGATCTCCCTGCTTCAAGTCCATTATTACTCTTGTTTAAGAGGTTTCTGCAACAGCTCATTGTCTTCTTGCATAACCTCATTAACTGTCCTCAGAAAAAGAATAGAAAGTTATCCTATCAATTATATTTTGTGTAGTGCTTGAGTGATTGTTCTACCACTTCAGTACTGAGTTTCTGTTATTTTGATCCTCTTATTGTAACTGACTTTTGTCTGCATTTGCCAGATTGCTCAAAGTTAAATTTGAAAATGCCCAAAGAAACAGGTGTGTGGTTTTTTAAACGAAGGTTGGTGCTATTTTGAACAGATGAGCAAAGGACACAGCATGGATATAATGAACTGTTATGTATGAGCAGTAGTAATAATATATTGCTGGTTTACTGAGTTTATCACAGTCAGCTCCATTTCAGCCAGGGTGCTGAAAGCTGCCTGGATGACTGGAAAGTCTGGGGACCAGTTTAACAATAAATACACAGAATCCCCAGAAGTCAACTTTATGGCTGCTGCCATATAGGAGGGCAGGGAAAACATCTAGCTCAGTGATGGCGAACCTCTTAGAGACCGAGTGCCCAAACTGCAACCCAAAACCCACTTATGCATCGTCGGGTGCCGGGTGGGTGTGGCCCATTGGGTGGGTGTGGCTGCGGTGGTAACAGCAGACTGGGTGGGACTAAAAAATTCAATCAATCAATTCCAACTTTGCAAGATCTTTTTTTTTCCCGCGAGAAGTTGAAATTGACTGATTGATTGAACCTTTTCTTTTTTTGCACACGGCAGCGGAGGCCTAAAGCGAAAAGATTTTATAAAACCCAGATGAAGGCCTAGGACTGGGGTGATGGCGTGTGTGCCCACAGAGAGGGCTCTGAGTGCCACCTCTGGCACCCATGCCATAGGTTCACCACCACTGATCTAGCTTGCCTTTTGTAGCAGTATGCAAGAATTAGCAGAAAATGTTTTTCACCACATGCCAAAGAGAGAAAATATTGTCTCTTGCAAATATTGGAAAGTCAGGGTACTGTAAAAGATGCAGGGAGATATGCTTTAAAAAAAAGAAAAAAAAGATAACTGTACATTTATCAAGTAGAAAAAGGATTATGGAACCAGCTGTGATGACTCTTCTCCAACAGCTGATATAAAACAGAACGATACAAACAGTGATCGTCAGGACAGGCCACAGAAATGCAACACCCATGCTTCATGAACTATGAAGGTTTCCTGTTGGCTGCTGGATGCAATTCAAGGAGCCGGATGTTATTTTTAAGATCCCATGTAGCGCATAAGGCCTGACTATTTCAGGGACTGTCTGCTTCCCATGGTTTCTGTCTACCTGGAAGATCTGGCAGAGTCAGCTACCATCAGTTACGCAGTGTCCTCTACTAAGACCCGGGAGCTGAGCCTTCTTTATTATATCTGCCCTCTGGAACAGGATTCTCTTGGAGATTCACATGATCCCATCATAGAGGCCTTTAAAAACTTGGCTATTTCCCCAGGTGAGCCTTTTGTTTCTTTTATCTTTGGGGTTGGGCCAGGGAGTTAATGGGGTTGGTGGTTTCCCCCTCCACACCGTGTTTGGGTTTTTACTTTGATTATTTATTGTTTTTGCATGTTAAGCTAACCAGAACTGTTGATGACCTAGAAATGTGAGGCAGGCAGATAAACAGATATAGCTGTATTGGTACCCTCCAAATATAATATACGAATTTTGTTGGTTAGGCCCAAGGGAGCTAGTGGGCATCAAGCTGCATAATGCTCGATTATTGTTTTTTTCAAGAGTTTTAAGACTAAGCCACAATCATCTCAGTTCATCTCACTTGTCCTCAATCCCACCCATAAGTGTCTAGAACAGCGGTTCTCAACCTATGGGTCGCGACCCCATTTGGGGTCGATCGACCATTTTTCGGGGGTCGCCAAAGAAGGCGATCCGCCATTTTCTCCCCTCGGGGCGCCGCCGCGCATGCGCGCCGCGCAGAACGTTTGTGTGACGGGGTCGCCGTCACACAAACGTTGAGAACCACTGGTCTAGAACAGTGTTAATTATGGGGGTGTTAATTATGCCTGTGATACACTTGCCCTCTCCTTCTGTGGGAAGGGACATGTTAATTATTAATATTCTAATACATATATGAAACCGTAGCCTATACATATGGCATCTGTGCATGCTTAGCATGTTTACCAGTGCTCAGATTCCAGAAATTAGTATGTATAGGTTTCTGACAACAAGCGTTTAGCAAGTGAAGGGGCAGAGGGGTTTGAGTAAATGTTGAGCAAATCCTATTTTAGAATACAAACCTGTTCTTTTTTCTCCTCTCTCCGTGATGCAATAGCACATAGACAATATTACTGTATCTACTTACAGAAGAAAGGATATATGTCCAGGGAACCACTGTCTTTCCACAGTGGAAAGTAAAAAACGAGCAGCACCTTAATGCTTGGGCAGCGGAAATTGATACTGACTTTCTTATAAGATATATTGCAAACAGTGAAACTATTGCAACAGGTGGTCATTCTGAACAGACCAAGGACATGAGTACTCTCCCTACTTTCATTTTATTTGAAGTCTTTATCTTCAAACACGTTGCTGAGATTCTGATTGCTAGCTGTTTACTCTCTGGGGTCGGTTGCTTTCATGTCGGCCTTTTCTCAAATTACTTCTGGAATGTAACCATTAGTGATACAATGTTAATCAAGCAGTCGGATTTACTGTGCCACTCTGCTACAGAGCAAGTTGGCCATCTATGGCTTTGAAGATGTCATGAGATTTCTGGAGGTAACAGATTGGCGTATTCCACTAGGGCAGGGGTAGGCAACCTCGGCTCTTTTATGACTCATGGACTTCAACTCCCAGAATTCCCGAGTCAGCATAGCTGACTCGGGAATTCTGGGAGTTGAAGTCCATGAGTCATAAAAGAGCCAAGGTTGCCTACCCCTGCACTAGGGGTATCTTCTAATACAATGGTTCGACAGCATTCTTTAAACCGGGATTCTCAAACTCTTTCAGGGGGTGGAACCTATTAATCCTCAAACCCTGATCAAAAGGCAAAAGCTTTACTGTTTAAAACTTAAGCTGTGAGGAAATGGACATTTTTTTTCCCCTCTTATTCTCCCACGGACCCCCATCAGGCACTCCTATGTGACAACTCCCCTGAATAGAGGAGGAGGCCATCCTAAGGCACTCTGTGGAAAGCCCTCTCTAATTGGGAGCCAGCCCCAGGCAGGAGGAGATGCTGGAGACAGCAACCTATGGAGCTCAGAAAATAAAGAAAATGGCCACCAGAAGAAGAAAGGAGCACAAGCAGCAAGTGGCAATTTAAAAACATAAAGGGAGAATGACAGTTGTAAATGAGATTATAAAGAATGTGAAAACAAAAGCAAAACAGTCTGAAGAACTGGGAGTAGAAATAGGGCAAGATTTCAACAGCTCTGCTTTGTCTCAGTGCTTTGAAGTATTTGATGAGAATTGTACTGACTCCGGATTGAAATAACAACCAGTCTACACAACTCAAAGTGCTGTATGTCCCTTATTTCATTGGGTTGAACCTTTCCGTGTCCATGTTTCACATTCCTGGTCCAAACTCATTCTTTCCAGGATCTTGCTTCCTATAGGTGCCAACCGTTAAAAGCCCTGATGGTGATGCTGAATTCCTAATCTTTTTCTTTCCTTTAATCTTTGTGTTCATACACTCAGAAAAGAGAGAGTGAGTCATGGAACCAATGGAGGATGAGGCAAGCTGAGACATCCTGACAAGGCATATGTACACCTGGGTAGAAGGAGAAACAGGTGTGGCACAGGCACATCCAAGGTTACACTCTAACTGACCCAAGTTTCTTTTCATTGTTGCATATCTTTGTCAACTTATTTAATGCAGGCTGAAAAGTCTTTAGCCAGCCTTCCCCATATTGTCTCCTCCAAATTGTTAGCCAACTTGCTGAGTTACCAACCAGCATATCTTCTGCCGTGCTAGCTAGTACTAAAGCTAACTAGATTCTGGGAGTTACAGTTCAATATATCTAGAGGACAACAAGTTAGGGAAAGGGCCATATCACCGCTAAAAAGAAAATAAAAGGAAAGACCTAGAAGACCTCAAACCACAAAAGTTGGGAAGACATACAGCAGGAAAGCTGGCTGAATCTGGGGTGTTGCCCAAAGGAAGTGGGTAGAAGGCCATAAAGCCCATGAGCTGTTCAGAGAGGGTTTAACTCTGTGGGTGCAGCATGAGGATCTCAAGCAGATTCTTGAAATATCCCCATCTCAATGCTACCATTGTCTGGCTAGGCATGCAGGCGCAGGCCCAGTTGCTACTGCCACAGACCCACAGTCTAAGGAATGCCGGATCCTTCCCTGCTGCCCTTTTCCAATGCTGACTCTGGTGTTAAACTCACTATGGTCAATCTAATCCCATTGCAGCAGGAACGAGAGGACCCAGTAAATGTTTCCGTGAATAAGAGAATCCATCACTTGATCTTTTCAGAGGAATACAAGTAGACTGCCTAGGGGAGTTGGCCAGCTAAGCAGCCCTTGGCAGCGCTTCTCACTTCAACACAAATAGGAAGAAGGCTGTCATAACAGCCATTGTTGAAAGCATTGCAAGAGAAAGAAATTGACCTCCAAGAATCTCCCTTGCGAAAGATAAATGTTGTTCCCTGCCTTTAACAATTGTGTCAGAATTTCAAAGTCTACATGTTTTTCCAAAGCATGAAATACAGCAGTAATAGGAAACACGCTCTCTGCAGGATGTTTGAATTGCTCCTGTCACTCTGGAGGGGAGCAGGCAATCTCTCTCTTTCTGGGTTTAAGAAGATTCCCTCCTGACCTGCAGTGCTGTCACCCCCCTGAATCACCCCTGTATTTCACCGGCACCTGTTCCCACACTGTGACATTCTTTTTCCACAAAAACAGTGTCTTTTCCTCTGCCAGCAGCTGAGCAAACACATCCTTCCCAGAGAGTGGGAAAAAGTTATCAATAAGCTTCTGTCAAGCCCCAGGAGCAAAGGTAACATTGATTTCTTCTGCATTATCGGTGTTGGGATAGAATCCTCCGTTTGGGCTGGCGTGCAGCTGTTGGACGTGTGGCGGACGTTTTAACAGTTGTGCAGAAGTCAAGCCCTTCAGCAGGTGTAACTCTCTGCCCCGTTACCAAAAGATGCAGGAATCCTTCCCTGTGTGGTCTTCTTGAGTGGGAACTGAAGACAATCGGAGCTAAATGTACAAGCCAAAAAGAGCCATTGAGAGAGCAAGAAAAAGGCAAGGGAGAGATGTGGTGCTTTGAAGAAGGCTCCAGATTGAGTGCTCAGTGCTCAATCTGAAAAGCATAAGAGGATGAAGCATTGTGTAGACTAGAGGGAAAGATTGTATTCCCGGGATTTCTGCACCTCTTGACTTTCCCTGCTGCAAGTAAAGAATCTCCTAACTTCTCTAACTGAACTTTGTTCTACTGAGTGATCAATTTGGTCCTAATCTCCAGGAACAAGTTTAGCAGTCTCTGATGCCGGATCATTGTTCCTCTGGCTGCAGTCATGAGTACAGTCACTCCCCTATTCCACTCCCAATCTCCCTTCTACAAAACTCTTAGATACAGACTTTATTTTAAAAACAACAACTTTTCATTTTTTGGATGTTGTGAAACAGAATGTTGTGACAAATGCCTTGATATCAAGTGCGAGACTGTGTGGTTTGGGCAGTAATCCTTAGAAGTAGCTGAGGATTAATAGGCACATCAGTGTGTTTCCTATATGTTTGCTGAATCATAGGGTTCCTGCCTAGTAGAAAAGCTAATCTATATTCATAGCTTGTTGCTACTGGCCATCCTGGCCCTTAGGAGCGGTAGTCCCAGCAAATCAGGGTTTACGATTCGTTGGATTTTCAGCTTCCACAGGAATTAAACAGAGAGGCAAGGTCTCTTCTGGGTGTCTTTACCTGCCCTTGCCTGGCTGTGTTTTCCACCCAGCAGATCTCCTTGTGTGTTGCTCTTCTGTGATATTTTTAGCCTCTCTCTCCCTTCCACCCAGTTCCCCGCACGCCTCTCCTCTGACTCAGTGGCACCAAACTCCCAATCTCTGGAACTGGACTGAGCTCATCTTACAGCTCTCTTTCACTGTGTGTGAGAGACGTGCCAGACCCAAGCACAGCAATGTGCAGGGCTGCCAGCAGTGGCAGGATAGCAGAAGAGTGTGGGCACTGTGGATAGGAAAGGTGCCAATGGGGGGAAACACCAGTGCTTAGCTCCAAAAGTGCCCTATCCCCTGCAGCTGCTCTTTGAAAGGAGAGGCCCTGGGGTTTTTTAGTCCTGAGTCATGTAGGAGTGGTGATTGTAAAGTCTCTTTAAAGAGAGATACTCTCTAGGCCAGGGGTAGGCAACCTTGGCTTTTTTTATGACTGGCTCAGGAATTCTGGGAATTGAAGTCCACGAGTCATAAAAGAGCCAAGGTTGCCTACCCCTGCTCTAGGCAATAGCCTGTTGGTCTGATTTCTTGAGTCTAACACTTGTTCAGCTTAATGGTGGTGCTAGTAGGAAATATTTGGTTCTGGATTTAATCAATCTATGAAGGCCTTCCTTTTTGGACAGTAGAATTCAACCATGTGAAAAGTGAGGGAAACCAGACTTGCTTTAGCCTGACTATGTACTCATTGGGAGGACTGTAGATTTCTGTCCAGGGACTCTTGGTTCAACATTTCTCAACCTGATGCTTTCCATATATGTTGAATGATCATTTCCATTATTCAGTGCAGATATAGGCCAGTAGATTTGGAAGGGCCCTTAGGAAAAGTCACTTTTCTTATGTAACTTTTATTGTTTTATCAATGTATAAGATAAAAATAAAACTAGGAAATTAAGGGAAGAGAAAAGAAAGAGGGAAAGAAAACATTAAGTACAAGGGAAGAAGGAAAAAGGCATTGATTTCCAACTCTTTTTAGCACAATATAAGATAACATTACCACCTCAACTTTTTACTTTTACACATTTCTATAACAGCAAATCTATCTAATCGGCAAAACCAGAGTTAAAGTTTCTTTTTTTTTTTTTTTGATTGAAAGCACAAAATCCAGAAGTGATCCAATATCTCAGGGATTGCCACAAAGAAGAGGGAATCAAGCTATTCTCCAAAGCGCCTGAAGGCAGGACAAGAAACAACGGATGCCAGTTAAAACTATTGGAAGAGCTAGCACATGAAAATATTATTTATTCTTGGTTTCAATATAGGCAATTAGTAGACAGATGGAAGACGGATCGTAAGGTGGGTTTCCTCAGAGAAGATGAAAATCTTATTAAGCAAGTGAAGGATCAAAGACAAACTCATATTAAGAGAATTTATGGGGTTCTAGTGGAATTGGATTCAGAAACAGAATTAATTAAGGATTGTATGATTAAATGGGCGCAGAATTTTGGTGAACCAGTTCTACTGGATACCTGGGAAACTATCTGGGTGAGAAATGTTAAATTTACACAAGCACAGAATTTAAGGGAGAATTTTTATAAAATGTTTTATAGATGGCACCTTGATCCACAAAAAATGTCTTTTATGTACCCTGACCTACAGCCTAAATGTTGGAGATGTGGTTGTTTGGATGCCACCTATTATCATATCTGGTGGTCGTGCAGAAATATAAAAGCTTTTTGGATTAAGATATGGTGGAATATTCAGAGAATTTTTAGAAGGAGGGTAAAATTTACTCCACAATTATTTTTATTAGGTATAGTTACTGATTGTGATACAAAGGAGGTTATATTGATGTTGAACTTGATCACAGCCGCAAGGCTGTTAGTAGGACAATATTGGAAGAAGGAATCTTTGCCTACTTTGCAGGAATGGTTTCTTAAAGTGTCTTATTTGGCGGAAATGGCAAAGATTTCGGCTTTCTTAAAAGAACAATCGCAAGAGAAATTTCTTGCTGTTTGGGATAAATGGATAAAGTTTATACAATTTAAATTGGATATAAAAAATATCATCTAGCTTTTTTATAACTTTTATTTTTATATATACACATATATTTTAGTGTTATATTCTTTTTTTTCATATAATTTTTTTAACTTTTTTTAATTAAACCTATATTCTGCTCTGGGAAGCTCCAGGGGGGGAGGGAGTGGGGGTTTTGGGGAGGGTTGGGGAAGGGTTGTTTTGTTTTGTTTTGCTTTGTTTTTGTATTGTATTGTATTGTTTTTTTTTGTCTTTTTGTAAAAATTTATAAAAAATTTTAATTAAAAAAAAAAAAAAAGAAACAACGGATGGAAACTAGCCAAAGAGAGAAGCAACCTAGAACTAAGGAGAAACTTCTTAGAACAATTAACCGGTGGAACAACCTGCCTCCAGAAGTTATGAATGCTCCAACACTGGAAGTTTTTAAGAAGAGACTGGACAACCATTTGTCTGAAATGGTAGTTTCCTGCCTG